TTATTGTTACTAAATATTGTCTATATTAATTAATAATATAAAATATTGAGAGGTACGATTTAGGTGACTAGTACGCATTCTCCAGTACCGCAACTCTCCCCTACATTTTCTAAGTAGATATTTTAAATGATGATAATAATATTATTATATGGTAATGAAAATTTTTTGTCTCAAGCCAAATTAATTTTGCAGATCTGATAAAAAAATGTATGATGTAATAAAATAACAATTTTTTATTTTAGAAATGCAGTTTGATTGTTAATGTTGCGTATGACGCCGCGGTAAATTCTGCTGACTAATGTTGCATTAATCTTTATTATATTTTTGTATACTCATGGTTCCATAAAATATATATTATTGACAAATTCCATAAAACTTTATTTTTATTTATATATATATATCATATAATAAACGATAAAAGATATAATTGTTTTTTAAAATTGTTTTCGTGAATTGTTAATTTACTATATTAGCATTTGCAACAAGCATACCAGAATTATTGGATTATGACAAACTATGTGTTCGACTAATGATAAATTTTATTTTACGAGCACGCTCATTGGATGGAATAAATTACCATAAAATACGAAAGTGACATGCTTGTAAGCTAAAACATGAAAATTGTATTCTTGATTATCTAAAGCAAAAATATTCGACTAATTATTATTAGTATCAAGATTTTACCGTGGCGAATCCTTCTAACGACGGAATGAACAAGCCGCCAATCATGAACGTGCAACATCGCACGCTTCTTCGCATTACAAACAATAATAACTTTTGCACTTTCAACGGCGCCATGTACCATTGTACGTTGTATCTATGTACGTTGTAATATGTTATTAGAAGATCGTAAAAGTTTTAAGATTGAAACAAATTTAAAATAAAAACAGTTTTTTAATGTATTACAGTATATATCTAATATAATCTCACGTTTTATGAAAAATATCACTGCTATGATCGATCATCTCTTGTCCCACATAGTTGCAGAAGAACAAGTACCAAAAATGGCCAAGAACAAATAGAAGAGTTGTTATTAGATCCCCATATGCCTCGGTTGTTATTAGCCGAGAAAGCTATGATCACATAGACGATCAGTTTTACTTTGTGAGAAGTGCAGAGCTTGTATCTGCGAGTACGATAATATACGCAAGTGTTGTGTTTATAATACCTAACTAAGATTTATTAATTACTCGGCATCATTAGTATTAATAAGAATATATCAATAGTAACTCACGCGATAAAGATTAATGCTTAGCGTTAGTACAGCGAATGGTATTGCAATGAAATACATCCACTCAAAATTCGCTTTCGTCATTTCGATAAATCTTGAATAAGGACGTGTCACAGGATAAATATACAATATAAATGACTATTGTCAATAATTATGTGTACATACGATTTATAAAATTCTTTGTGCGTGAAATTTTGAATTATATATTAATAACAGTATTAGTGCAAATTTATTGAGGAGTGAATAATTTAAAGAAAAATCACATTATAAAATAAAAGAAATTGTCTTTGATCGAATTAATGAGAATTACAGACTCGATTGCTTTTCTGTGTATATCGACTGCACTGATTATTTCTTGGCATATTATTGATTTTTTTTCAGCAACGGATACTACGTCTCGTGCCATACCTTTGTGCAAAGCTTGCTTTATACGACAACTGAAAAGTAGTGAAATTTATAAAAATTATCAAAATAAGTTAATTCGCTTCTTAGCTCATTAAGTACCAGGCAATCTATGCATTTTTCTATTTTAACTATTCGTGTCTTGGGTTCTGATAAACATGTTTAAGATATAAATATGGAGACAGAAGCTAGGAAAGTAAAGATAAAAAGAATAAGTCAGCTCTACCTGTTTACTGATAAGTAATCAATTAATAAATAATTTTGTTTTTTTAGTAGAATGCATCAATATAATTATTATACATCATTTGAATAATAATTATATCGATGTATATTTTATTAAACAAAATCATTAATTAATTAAATACTTGTCCGTAAACAAAGTTTATTATTTTACTCTACTTTCAACAATCTTTTTTCCAAATATTCGACCTCATCACCAATTAGATTTTTGGAAAGAGCAACTTTTTTATACTCTACAATATCAATTACGACTTAAAAATTTTAATTAAGACCTGAGTTTCAAAAATTTTAAATAGAAAAAATGCGTAGGAATCTTTTATTTAATGAATTAAAACTCTATATTTACTTCGCTATTTCGAATAATCCACATGCATGTTGTGTATATGACATACAAAGTGTTTCCATGGCTATTACTGTGGTTATGCCACACAGAACGACAAGAAACATATATAACAAAAGCGGAGTAAAATACTTTTGTTGATCTATAAAAACCTCGATTTCGGCTGAAAGATGCCGTATACGAGATTCGTTTGTAGCAGTTGCAATGTCCAAAACAAAATTTAATAGAAGCTGTATTAAAATGAAGCTAAAAATAGCCAAATAGGCGAACACTGTAACAATAAAACTTATTCTAAATTATTACCGAACTTAGCACGTTGAAAAATTATTTGAGATGTTGCTTACATGCCGTAAATAATGTGATAAGTCTTCCAATAGCTGAATACTTTTTTATTATTTCAAGTTCATGCGCATTATTTAATTCATTCCAGTCCAAATGTATTCGTTCTATGAGATCTCGCATCTATGTTCATAAGATAATAATAATTATTCATTATTTTTTCTAAAAAACATCTTTAAAATATTTTGAAAAATGCCTTAATATTAAATATAGTTACCTTTTTCATATTTAACCAATGAACATTATATCTCAATATATAACTCATCCATGGAACACTATATGCGAGGATTTTCAAAAGAAGCTCCATACTGTATTCTCTCGTGAAGAAGGTTGTAAACTGAAAGGATTACTTTTTTCCAGATATTTAACTTTTAATAAATTTGGTTAATCAATTTCGTTATAATTTTCGTATTATTGACTTTTTGATTAGAATAATTATGTAGTGATTTCAAAGAAATTGTTTAATATATACAAATATGGCCATTCTAAGCATCATTCACTGTTAAATCTATAGTGTCAAATTTAACTATCATTTTGATAAAAAATAACGATATATTTAATAGGAGCAGTGGCGATTTACGGTAGGTTATATTTGACACTATAAATTTAACAGTGTTGAATTCATCAGATTTTATGCGATTAGAATTTCCTTACAGACAATTTATTTAAATTAACACCATTTATTAATTAAAATTTATTACGCGCTCAATCTTTGCTCGATTTCCCATTTTATTAATTTTTATATCAAATAACAATAGTTAACAGTAACTAACAATAGTTCGGAAATAATCAGATATAAAATTTGAAAAGATTGTCATACCTGAAATATTATGCTAGACGTAAGTATTATAATCATCAATGTTATTAGAATACATTTGAAACCAAATCTTTGATATGGCCACAAGCCGATACATAGCAACAGGTTCCGATTAATAATGTAATAACTATCCGCCGTACAAGTCATTTCGGTACAAGTGCCACAATATATCTGTGCTAAAATTTTTTCTAAAAACATCTTTTCTATACCTAGCTAGCATGTTCTATTATAATTTTACATTTTTCACGTTTTTTGTTTGCAAATATTGTGCAAATATTGGATTAATGACAAAATTATGAAATTCTATAATATCGAAAAATTACGAAATTGTGTTGAATAACTGGTTCAAATTATAGTTTTACCTTATATATATGATTAAAGCATCTACAAGTATGGGGAACCTAATATGTTACTACTTGCAAAATATATATAATCAGTTATTTCCTTTCTTTACCGTTGTTTCTTATATTCGATCGACGCAAGCGCAATTACAGTATCATTTTCGCGAATTTTCAATGTCTTATCAGTCCTATTCGAGACGTGAAACGTCATGGTACTTTCTTTAGACGTGTATACAACTAATATATAGACATACTAAATTAAGACGGTATTCATAATCGGTTCTCATTTCAAGACTGTTTTAAGTAGTGTATTAAGATGTTAATATGGCTCTATGTTTTATTATATCTTAAAACTGTTATACTTCTCTCTCTCTCTCTCTCTCTCTCTTAAAACAATCTTAACTATATTTATTTTTATTTCATACAGAAAAAGAACATTAATTTTAATATATTATATAATTCTGATAAGAAAATGCCAAGATATCATTAATGCAATAATATTTGCCCAGCTAGGCATTAATATTATTCTAATAAAAATAATCAATATATTTCGTTACTTTCCTTTGTGTATAATGCTCTGAAAAGCGATACAATCTGAAAACAATTTCCTTCTCTTTTGTTTTTTTATTCGAAAATATCCGAAATCTTTTTCTCACATTTTTCATACTACACTTTTCATGATGTTAGTTGATGAATAAATAACAACATGAAAATTGCATTCACTAGATAAAATGAAAAAGGAATGTAAACGCTGGTATATTTATTGTGAATGTAAAACCGGTGATTGTACAAATTTATTTCTTCTTTTTTTATTTTATATCAGCCTATTATACTTTCGGTGTATGTTTTTTCGGTGTTTTCTTACATACGCATATATGTGTGTGTACATAGATGAGTCAAATTTCACAATTGTTTTCAACTTGAATATAAATCATAATAAATTTATATATCACATCTACGTAAAAAACGGAAAAGAAACAGTGTGTAGTGTTTTACGAATAAAAATGATATTTATGCGTTTTGACAAGCAATATATTTCATGTAATCATACTACAATGAACTTAAGACATTGATTCGATCATATCTGTACGTGAATTATAATTTTTCGTTGCATGTGATATCGTACTTTGATAATCAACCAACACAGTGATTTTGAAGGAAATATTCGTTTGCGCATATCACCCTTAAGAACGTTAATGTATTGACAAAAAAATTGTAAAATAAGATAAAGAGCAGCTCACGAGCTAAAATATAAATTATTTATTAAAATTAATCCTATTTATAAAATTGTTATATTAATTTTTTCAATGCTGTGGACATATCAGCAAATTGTGCATTGTGAGCGCTATGGACACATTTATGCGTCTAGTTTTAATAGTAAGCAAATATTCAGCATTGAAAAGTGTGTATTACATTATTTGCGACGTTAATTTTTTATTAGCAAATTTAATTTAATTTAAATTTAATTTAATAATCGTAATGGAAACGGGCAATAGGAGTCAAGCGCGGATGATGTTGCGCCAAAAACAATTTTTTGTAATAATAAAAATCCTTTATTATAAATAACGCTTACATGTTTCGGTTCATTTTTGAGCCCTCTGCAGAGATAAAAACCGTATATGCTACATCTAATGACACTAAGTGTCTGCTACTCGGTGAGCCTCTCCACAAACAGGAATTCAAATCAAATCTACGAATATATCCAATTTTACAGAAAATATTTTTATACACCCATGAGGGGGAAGGGACAGAAAAAATATCAAGAATTATCTAATGTGATCTTTTCTTGATACTTTTTCTGTCCCTTCCCCCCCTCATGGGGTGTATAAAAATATTTTCTGTAAAATTGGATATATTCGTAGATTTGATTTGAATTCCTGTTTGTGGAGAGGCTCACCGAGTAGCAGACACTTAGTGTCATTAGATGTAGCATATACGGTTTTTATCTCTGCAGAGGGCTCAAAAATGAACCGAAACATGTAAGCGTTATTTATAATAAAGGATTTTTATTATTACAAAAAATTGTTTTTGGCGCAACATCATCCGCGCTTGACTCCTATTGCCCGTTTCCATTACGATTATTAGATTTATAAGGGGTCTTAATTAGTTTGTTAAATTAAATTCTAAATAAACTATTAATTATAGGGGAGAATGGTCTAAATCGGACCGTGTTCCAAATAGGACCTTTTTAATTTAAATGAATACCGTTAAGCAGATTTGCGTACTATTTATAATGTAAAGTCCTTATAAGACACCGAATATTGACAGCAGTTGATAGTTCTTTGTCGTAACACTTATAGAATAGACGCAAATATGTATTTTTAGTCATCGTGCGAAAATTTTTTTAAAAAAGAAAATCCTTG